TTTAGAAATGGGAAGATATGAATGTTACGGAACAAAAAAGAAAGTGGGAAGATATGAATGTTAGGGAGGAGGTATAATTTACGCTTGTACATAGTATATAACTAAAAAAAGTTTGTTTTGAAATATCCATTTCCGAAATTGAGAAAATGGCATCTATAGTTTTGAATTCTAGTTCGACCAATCTTTGTTCATATTCATTTATTCTTTGAACGTAAAATAAAATTTTGATTCTAAAATTCAAACGGCTACCTTTGCACCTTCACCTTTCATCCTCAGCTATCTCAGAAATCTAGGGTTTTGCGCAACTCTCGTCTCTTTTGCACCCTTGACGGCGCATCTTCGACGGCGCTCGGCTGCAAGAGGGTGAAAACTAAGTGAAGCTACTTTTGGGTGACCAGTTCTGTCCACCACACTCGCTATAGTCTCGCAACGAAGCAGGTCGATGGACTTTTAGGGAAGGGTGGCGTAGCAGAGCAGTCCAGGTTTTGAAGGAGCTTTGAAACCTGATTTCCGGCGGTCGTGTCTATGTAAATCATAGTTTTTTGTTTCGGTGGTGAACAATCTGTTCATTGGATCCGGAGGTGTGGTTGTAGCAACTCGGAAAGCTTCAGTGGCGGAACGACATCATCCTTTATGTGGAGGGCTAGTAGACCAGGACAACAAATTCGCAGAAAGGCAGAGGCAGTCAACAAATTCTATGGAGGAGATAGTCAACAAAGGTGATAACATGATTCCCCGAGGTGACGAGGACGATCTGATTCTGGAAGAGGAGGTCGTGGGTGAGGAAGAGGCTCCGAACAGGAGTGTACGAGGGAAAGAAGATGAAGAGATGTTGATCCGCCCCCCTCCCGAACCGCCGCCATGGAGAAATTGTGTGACTAGGGTTTGGACGACTATTTCTATTTCTGTTTTATTTTGTTTGTGTTTTTATTTCTTCTGTTTTTACTTTTTCCAGAAGGTGAGGAAAACTCTTTTCACATTTACGGGTAATAAATTTGAAGAAGAGGGACTTTGAAGTAATTATAGTTAAAATCTCTTTCATATAAGACGAATTTAAATAATTGAACCGATGCTCATTTTAAATTGAGTTTAAATTATCATTTCGTTAATTATCCTTCAAAATTCTTCAAATTTGAGAACTTAAAAATGGAGTATTTAGAGGGATTTCTAAGTTTACAAAAACCATCTAAAATCATTTCCTCCAAGTTTTTGAACTCTCAAACATGAAAACAAGAACCATAAACGACATCAATTTTCCCCTCCCTTGCAAAACTCAACTCCCAAACATACTCTTAGATAGTTTTACGAATTTGCATCTGATTATTTCTCTGAACTGAAATGAACAATAATTTGGAAATTGGAATGAAATGTGATAAGAAAATGAGAGAGCTACCTAAATCTACAATCTTATAATTGTGAATCAAGGTTAGGGTATTTTAGGTAGGAAAAAAATGTTGGTGTAATCATGTTGCTTAATTGAGTTGAACATTCAGCTCTATCACTTGTACTCCATATTAATAAACTTTATCTTTCCATTTAATCTCCGTCTCCCACTGTTACCGTCTGCTTCTGTTCTGTTTTCTCCCCTGGTACCTTCTCCCCTATTTTATCCATTCGTACCTTTTGCCCTTTGATTTCTTTTGTAATTAATAGGTCGTTACAGCAGCATGTTGGTTAGGGAAAGCCACTAGAATTGAACCTCACCCCATTCAAATAAGACAAAACCCAAAACATTGTTTCCTCACTTTCCTTCTTTCCCTTCATCTTCTCTCTCCTTGTTTCTGCTCCCGCTTCATCCATTTCTCTGTTCGTACCAAAATATTAGATTACAAGTGACAAACTGACAACTCCCTGAACATATTATAAGTTATCATACAATGTTGCGGTGGGTGCTAAGGAAGGCCGTTGCCGCAGGGAGGACAACACGGTGGAGATCCAAAAAAGTAAATGTGAGGAGAGTTTGCTGAAGAAGCGCCGTGATGGGCTTCATGGACAACCCTTTTCTACCTCCACCCGCCACGTCCACCTGCGACACCAGTCCATTAGTATTCCCAATTCACTTGGTTATGTTTGGCTTTTCATTTTTGTCTTATTAAATAAAGGGGATGTAGTTTCATGGTTTTTTTGCTAATTAGCCTCAATTTTTATCAATGATTTTGTTGAACTTACGATCTATTGTTGAACCCGTTGATTGAAAAGAAAATCAGTGAAATCACTGTTTTTAGTTAAAATAAAAAGTACATTCCCTTGATTGTTTGTATTGCGCTGCTCAGACTAATCACAGAGTTAGGATTTTGAATATAGATTTTCAATCCCACACAGTTTAGTAGCTACTTTTAATGAATGCTCATTTGATGACTATTTGAGTTTCATAATTGTTGATTTGGAGCTAGATAACCTTCCTAGAATAGTAGAAGCTGTTTGGTCAGACAATAAAGGATTTCAACTTGAGGCTACTGCAAATATCCCCAAATTGCTTTCAATTGGTATGTTGTATGCATTGCTTTTATTAATCATATATGATCATCTCCTTACCTGTATGATTAAACCATGCTTTATGATAAAAATTTTACAAATGACAACCCTTAAAATATGCTTTTACTAATTCTTATTTTGAGATCATTTTTTGACTCCACAGTGTTGTAAAACTTGGACACTGGATATGTTTGATTTGATATGCTCTTCACTAGCTGCTCATATGTTCAAGATTTGTGTGTTTGGCTATGAATTCACGGGTGAGATCATGGGATTAGTATGTCTAGTGCTTTAGCCTAAGTTATTTTATAAAATAAAATTTTATTTATTTTCAAGTAATGTTTGAAAAACAAGGAGTAATACATAGTACCTTTGATGTGTATATGTTTGTTTGTAAATGATAAGAAACACAACTTTCAACAACAGCATTACTAAACTGATTGAATACACTAAACTATCTAATATATTTGTTTAAAAACTTTTTTTAAAATTGACATTAACTATCCTGAAGGTCCTTTAGGTACTAAGAAAACACGTGTCGTTATCAAATCGGCAAATCCTTCTATGACAAAAGTATTGTTGGATGCCCCGGAGGACAAGGTGAGGATGAGCATGATCTTTTTTGGTTCTGGTTAGAGAAGGGCAAGCCACACGAATGCCCTGTGTGCTTACCGTATGTCGTTTTGGAAGTGGTTGGCCCGGGAGGACCACCAGATGTCCATGGTCATGTAAGCAGCAATTGCTCTCTACCAGAAGATATCTGGTTTGGATTTTGACAGATTAGTTTTCTGCAAAATATGGATTTAAAAGCTATTGGGGTCAAAAGTTCCCGGAGCTTATACCTTTTTTGCTATATTCCTAAATTTTTCCTTACCAGCCAATATCTCATACGAACTTAAAGAGCGAACTGGTTGGTGTGTACTTATCCATTTGGTTTGAATTTCAAATTCCTTAATAAAAAAATGAGTTATGCTTTCATTGCTTTGGCGCTGTTAATAATCACTTATGTGTCAATATCTTATTGAAGTTAAACCTAGAGATTATATCTCGAGTTCATTTGCTATGTTGTGCATCTCTTTATATAAGCGCTCATTATAGCATTTCCAGATCTCAGATATTTTTTCCTAACATAAAGTATTGATATAGAAAATGTTATGAAATAAATACCTTAATATTTTGAAAAACTACCAAATACAATTCTAATGCCCGCCTGCTGTTGGTAAAAACAGTGTCCATAGCACTTTAACTAATTTTTATATTCATGACACTTGGTTTGTCTGATTGGAAAGAATGAGTATTTGATAATAGTTGACAATGTTTAAGTAGTTTGTATAAGTTTTACATATATTTTTTTTCCCTTCAAGTGTTCACTCCATAATTTCTCCATTTTTTACTTCCCCTATCTAAAATAATGTTCAAGTTTTAAATGCATCAACGAGACCTTGTAGGGAATATGATAAATTATGATTGTGCATTATTGATGCTTGTACATCTTGCTCATTGCTAATGGATATCCTCATTTAAGAGTTCAACACAATTTATGCATTTTTTTACTAAATACATTGGACTAATAATATCCATCCTTTTCGGCTTTGAAGCCCTAACTTCATATTTTATTTATTGTAATTATCATTGTTTTTTTCTTGTTGATACTATTAGAAGTGTAAAAGCATAACTACATTTATGTTACACAAGATATATTGGGCATTATTCAGATCGCGCATCGCGCGTTACGAAAATTAGTAGGACTAAATAAAAGGATAATTGTAACAATAGAAGTTTAAAGTTTAAATTCCCAAAATAGGACTAACTCTTCATATTCTACCCTTTCCTTTGCCCTTCCTAATAGGATTTTTTAAACAATCATTATAAAATATAAAAAGATCAAAATAAAAAAAAATCGTAAAAAATAATTAAAAAATATACATACCTCAACCACCACCTCAACCACCTTCCAGCACCGGCACCTCCGGTCGCCGGAAAAGATTGCAAAGTTGGGGGGAATATGTCATAATTATGACAATTTTGTAGAGAAAGCTGAATATTTTCATGACATGTTCATGACATTTTCAGAAAAATGTGGCATTTTTACATAAGATGACATTTTTTCCCGGCGACCGGAGCTGGTGGTGCTGAGAGGTAGAGGGCGTGTTGACAGTGACCTACATATTTTTTTAAATATTTTTTAGGTATTTTATTTTATTGTTTAAACTATTTTAATGTTTTTTAAATATTTTAGTTTTTCAATTTATTTTATTTTTTCACATTTTTATTATTAATTTATAAATATTTTATTACTTTTTATATTTTTATTATAAATGAAACTATAATTTTCTTATTAATAAAATAAATCTATTGAGAATTATTATATAAGGGGTAAAATGAGAAAAAGAGAAATATATTAATCTTATTTTGGAAATAAAGGATTTGTAATTGAATTTTGGGCTTATACCCGTAAGCAAAATGTATGTATAAAACAATGCCACATACATCAAGGCATGAAGCATAATAATTCAACGACTTTTTCCAACGCCCTAACCGTCCCGCACTATTGCCGCCGCCGACATCCATCAATCCCGGTTCCCATAAGTCTCCTCATATTCCCTCCAACCGTTAGAATGATAATCCATGATGCTTCCTCATCATGCTCCGTAATCCGCAGTTATATTTCCCGATCCCGTAATTAGCCGGGGTTTTCTGATCGTTTGTAATACATGTCTGAATAAGCTTTTAGGGGTTTTGTCGCCATAGATGCATAGGGAATTCGCGCGGTGTTAGGGTACATATAGAGAAGATGCAACATCAGAAGAAGAAAAAGAAGAGATCGAAGGCACCGAAAACCGGCAGGTCTGGAAGGGCTTCTTCTTCATCTTCTTCAGCGGGAGATAAGAAACACGACGAGCAAAAGGCTGTAGATGCTTTATTGGTAGCTTCAATTCCTGTCCAAGCGAACGTGGAACTGAACAATGACGGCGAGGTCATTGGCGACCTGGATGAGATTTCGGAGGAACGGAGCACAACCTCCTCGTGTTTTAGCAGGGAGGCAGGTTCGAGTTCCTGCACGAGTTCTTCGGAGGTGATTTTGGAGGACCATTGTCTCGAAAGTTTCCATGGGGCGAGGCAGAAGTGTAAGATGAGAAAGGATGTAGCTTCAGCTGGGACGGTTTCAACCTTGTTGGGGAAAGACTACGTGATGTCTGTTCCTAAGAAGAATTCATTGAGAATGAAGGGATCTAATGGTGATTTTTTCACAAAGGAAGATGCCGAACAATTCTTATGTTCAATGCTTGGAGGGGAGTGCGAATTGAGCTTCCCCCTGGTTAGAGACGTGTTATGTATGTTTTACATTCTCCATTTTTTCTTTTGAATGCTTGGAAGGGAATACGTCAAAGTGTGTACAACTCTAGATACATAATAAGTTGACAAAAGTTAATTAACACTATACCTTCATGCAAAAATAACATAAAAGACAAAGTTTTACATTAGATGCCAATACCGCTGTCGAACTCTTGCATATGAATTATAGCTACAAGGAACTACACATAAGTGAATAAATATTTGACAGAGTTGTTTTACAATTAGCTCTACTATATCTGGAATTAGACACCTAAGGATAAAAGTGTATAAAGGAGGGCTACTGTGGTTCATTGATGGTTATGCAGTGGACTCTTATGGTTTTGTGGCGGACCACCACTCTCACCATCATCACTGGTGATGCTGGTGGAGGGTGTTACTACCGGCATCGCTACTTCTTCCATTGTGCATTTGCAATGTGATGTTTGCATTCACTCATATGATAGTAATTTTTTCGTGCACGGATAATATCATGAGTGACACTGAGCTGAGATAGCTACCAGAGTTTTGTCCTTTTACACATATCATGGTGCAAGACTATGAATATAATTAATGTCAGTTAATATAATAAATTTGATTTGAGACTGAATTCTGTTCAATTTTTGACAGGTCAGTGTGGATACGATGTAGATAAGGTAACAGTTTCTATTTGAATTTTACTCTAGCTTACTCTAACTTTTCCTAGTTGTTTGATTTCAAGTAGATATTGTTGCATGGGATATGTCCAGAATTGGTGTTATTCTTGGTTAGGAAAATATTTTTTTCCCTAATTCTTTGTGATTTTTGTAAGGAATTTAATGCCCAGGCTCATCTTTTTTTTTTAAATCTCACTTCATAAGTTCCTTTAAAATATTTATTGAAGTGACAGAGTAGGGTAGGGGTATATCTTGTCCTGGTTCTACTCTTACCCTTTTTACACACTCAACTTTTTCCATTTATTTTTATGGACACATGTATTGCTCTCTAGTTCCATGGGTCATCCGGAAACAGTCTTTGTGTGCTTCAGTATAGGGGTAAGACTTCGTACATCCGACCCCCTTACCCCACCATAGGTGGGAGCCTTTGCGGCACTGGGGTAATGACCATGATGATTGTATTGTTCTCAAGTTAGTCTTAGAATGCTTACATATTTACTTTCCAGGCTCTAAATGTATTGCTTGAATTATCAGCATCCCCCTGTGATCAAGTGGAAAAGATTACAGTAGATACATCATTGCTTGCAGAATCAAGTGAGAATGTAAGTTTGATTCTGTTATCATCTTTTTATTTTGGGATTTTTTCACTATATACATCACTTGTTGCTTTGTTTGGGAGTCGGGACTTCAGGTAAGTGCCCTTTCTGTCTGTTTTGGTTTTCTGAGTATTGGGTTTTGCTTATTTGTTAAAGAAATTGTCCTAAATAGGATTAAATGAGGTTTGCAATTCCAAAATAGGACTACTATGTTTTTCTTCCCGAAACAGGAGTTGTTATGTCATCTATGAAAAATACTGTTGTGATTGAAAAACATTGCCATTAATTATAATAAATACTGTCATGTTAAATGCACTGTACTGCAACTACTATTTGGCGGTCACGCCTACAAGATGATTGTAAATACTGTCATGTTAGTCCTATTTCGGGAATAAAAACATCGTAGTCCTATTTTGGAATTCTAAACTTCATTTACTCCTATTGTGGGAAATCTCTCTATTTGTTAATGTCCTTGGATCTAGTTTATACCAAATTTAAATTTTTAAGTGAACAAGAATAGTTCCTCTGTCCCAAATATGTCTACAATTTCATTATCCATTGGTCAACACAGTTCCTATTTATATCTGATTTAGAGTTTTTTTACCACATTTGACTTCATTTTTGTGCTTCAAGCCTTCAATAGAACTTTTTTGAGAGTAAAAACAATGTGAAATTCTAAAATAGGAGTATTGTGTTTCTTTTTCCTAAATATGATTAATTACTGTCAATTATGGCATGAATATTGCAATATTAATGTTTGCTAATGTCAAAATATGACAGTATGATTTCAGGACGACAATTATTTACTCCTATTTAGAGGAAAAGCATAGTACTCATATTATGGATTATCTCGTTGTTTTTACTCCTCTTTCGCGAAATTTCCCAAATTCATATTAAGCCTAACTTATGTGTTATTACAAAAGAATTAACCTTATCGTCAGTCGACCATTACTCATGAATTTCCACCTCTTTTTGTGACAGAGATTGTAGTAGATAAACATAAACTCTTTTGTTATATTCTTGCAGCTCACTGACAAGACTAGTGATACTGCCTCTCTGTCATCTAAAGGTGATTTTCAAGGCAGTATGTGGAATGCAGGGAACTCTTGCTGGTAACTGGTCTAATTTACTACCCTCATAACACTAGGAAAAGTATAATAATTGTTATAAGCTTTAAGCTACATTTTTCCCACATTATTTCAGGAATCAGTTTAAATTTAGTGCTGATATTAATAAGCCTTCTTCACCAGCACCAAAAAACTTGGAGTCACAATTCTCAGAGGAAGTTTTGAAATCCTTGTTTAATATGCCCACTCCCAAGAATGCTGAACGTGAACCGAATACACTGAACTGGAAGAACGTTGTAACTAAAATGGCATCTTTTAGACCGAAACATGAACCTCACCCCTCCAAGAGTGTAACAGATCATTATGACCATGGTATTTGCTCAATTGCTTCTCAAAGTATTTTCTGATTTCAATTAGTGCATTAATGTGAACAGTTAATTTGGACAGTTTTGAGTTAATATTAAAAGATTTAATGCTTTGTGTTCATTGGGTGTGCTACATTGGTTGTGTACTATGCATGTTGTTGTGTATAATTGCGAGCCAAATCTCCTCTTGCAGTCCTTTTGTGCTCGTTTAGGCCCATGGTGGTGGTTTTTTGGGTGCATGTCCACTATGGCTTGGGATGAAGCCCATCTTGGTTCTGTCCAGTCTCATTTGTTCACCCATTCACTTGTCCAGTCTCATTTCGTTTCACCCATTTATGTTGTCCATTCTTATTGAGTTTAGTGTATAAGATTGTAAATCTCGTAGGGTATGTATGGGAGTTTGGGGGGAAGGGGAGTGGAGGCTTTGATGGTTAGCCGTAGGAGGGGAAGAGGCGGAGAAGTGGAGGGGAAGTGAAAGAAATCATTCTCATTTGGGAGTTGCAAATTTGGAAAGAGGGAGGGCATGGAGGAATTATAATTAAAATTGCTTTAGAGGTATCAAATTGTTGAAGTTGTATGCATTTTAAATTAGGCTAAACTTGTCATTTAATTGGTTACTCTTAAAAAAACCAACTTGGAGGAACTTAAATGTTAAGCATTTGAAGGGTTTTGGAAGGTTACAAGAAGACTCCAAAACCATCCCTTCCATTCTTTTGAACTCCAAAACATAACACGGAGGGTCATAAACCCTCATCACCCTTCACCCTTCAAAACCCAACTCCCACCAAACATACCCTTCAATATTCTTTTGGGGTGAGTGGGAACTAATGTACTAGTGTAATACTTCTGCTCTGTTGTAGCCAGGGAGAATGCCTACCATAGGTTCAGAGAATCTTCAAAGTGTCATCGGGAATCTATGAAACTCTGCTATGAGAAGGTATTCTATATTTTGGGATTTAGATGCCAAGCTCATACATAATTTCTTGAGAGAATTCACATACTGCTGCAGGCTGCATCAGCTTCTATCAATGGCAATCGTCAATATGCTGCTTATTTATCTGAACAGGTATGCCATATGATGTTGAGAGCTGATGTTGCATACTTGCATCTATCTGTGCATCTTTTTATAACAATTTGGAATTGTCCTTGAATCCCTCCGAAGCATTATATTTGCATGAGTTGCTCTATTGTTTGTCGACCAACATTTTCTCTTTCATGGAACCTGTCACAGGGTAACACACATAATACTAAGGCCAGGGAAGCTGACAAAAAGGCCAGCCTGGATGTATTTGAAGCCAGGTCTTCCATTTTTATGAAAATTAAAAAAAGGAGAATCCTTTCGTGTTCTTTTTCTGCAAAGAATATTAGCATCTCGTTTTCCTATTCAATAGCTATATTTTTTATTGCAGAAATAAGAGTATAGAAAACATGATTACTATTGACCTGCATGGGCAGCATGTCAAACAAGCAATGAAATATTTGAAACTCCACCTGCTGTTTGGGGGATATGTACGCTGTAAGAAACCTCCATTATGTATACTCACCAACGTTTGATTGCTTTAAAGTAACTCTGTATAGTGTGCTCTATGTAATATACACTATAGACCCCACTTGGTGGCATTAATCGGCTGAATGCCTAAATTTGCCGATTCTGCTTATCAGAATAAGTAGCCTTTGACTTATTTATTTGGTTGAAATCAATTTTATTGAACACCTTAACTTACATAAAGTTCAGCAAGCTCATCCATTTCAGCTAAATATTCCTTCCCAAACGTTTCTCTTATTTTTTATTTGTTTCTCCAGCTGTGAAATCATTTAGGGTTATCACAGGATGTGGGAGCAGTGGTGTTGGGAAGTCGAAACTGAAAAACTCTGTACGAAATATACCTTTTTTCTTTTAGCTGTAGTGCCACTATATTTTAGCTAAGAATTCCATACAAGAAAGGGGGGGAAAAGGTATTTAGATAATTCTTCTTTACTGCATGCAGGTAATTAACCTATTGGAAAAGGAAGGCATTGAATGGCGGGAGGAAAATAGAGGAGCATTGCTCATCAAGCTTCATGGGGAAACAAATTTCAGCTTCATAGATTCTGACAGCGATAGTGATTGATTATTGTCAATCTTATAGGTTCCTTATATCAGGGGTTTCTAATTCATTAGTTTTTCCATTTGTATATACGGAGTAGTTTATTGCGCCCACCTTAGTTTAACAATTAGCTGGCTTTAGATTAATGATTTATTGTACTGTCCTATTTACAGTATGCTTTGCGTAGGTTGCCCTCAGGACTTCTTCCTGTTAAGGGGTGTGCTTTTTGTAATTCTATGTTGTATCTTTAGCCAAGACAATCACATTTAATACAAATTTGTGAGTTCAGATTCTTTTGCCTTAATTTCAATATTTCATACAAAATGAACATGCAAAATAGTTCACATTTAACTCCCTGTTGAAGCACATTAAAATAACCATCGTTCTCTACCAATCTTCTATACTACCTTGGATTGGACTGATCAAATAAAATAAAAACGAATACAATAAATTGGAGTTGGTCTAATATAAGCTTATACAGTGCAAAAAGTGGAAAGAATCAGACAATATTGGTATTAGAATTCCAAACTTAACTTCAAACTAATGGAATATAATTGATAGAGTATATAGACTCGAACCCTCGGGTCTCACGATTATTGGGATTGGACAGTGGCCACACACACTTATCGAATGTCTTTTGTATTATTGTACTGTTCATATATCATCTGTATGTACTAGATTAGTATTTTATGTAGTTGGGTCTATCGAGCCCATATTAGCGGCCCGACCCATTATTCTCTATTTATACTCCTAACTCCTCTTGGAGCCTCTTGTAACCCTAGAATGATTATTACACAAGCAATATCACTATTAATCATCTTCTTCCTCTCTATAGCTCAATCTCTCCATTTATTATATAGTTTGGATCCCCATAATCCATCAATGGCGCTTTCATTGGGAGTTTGAGCAATAATCAAGTGAGATTCCTCCCAAAATGAGCCAAAATTGTTCTGAAAAATCAATAGAAGAAAAAAAATCTGGAAATCCCAGGTTGAGCTGCTGTCACCGTCCACGGACTGTCGTGCGCTACCCAGTGAAGCACATTGCACTACCTGAAGTCTGTTGCGCCCTTGCAGCTCTCATCCCCGCCCCTGGTCCAACACCGCCATCTCCGCAGGTTACAACCGCCATAGCAACGAAGTACAAATCTATGGCCTAAAGAATCTCCAGACGTGTCGTCTCCGTCCAGATCCGGACCAACCCAGCGACCGGCATCGGAGTTGAGATCAATGCTACAACAATCGACTCCAACTATGAGCTCCGCCGCAGGCGGTGTCTCCTCTTCTTTGGTGCGTCGTTACCACCGTTTTTAGCTCCAGGAGCTCTGCGTACAACCTCCAACGTTGTTACCTTACGCGCCGGAAAGTAGCGACCAGGCTCGGTTTCTCATCGCAGAAACTTCGAATGAAGCATGGGCCTTTCTGACGGTTCTCAATGACGGAAACAGCCGGATGCGTGCCATAACCGTGGATTCCATGGTCTGAGGCTCTGAGCGGCTGGAGTGTCCTCGAAGCTGTGCTTGCACTTCTAAACAGTGGTTGAATGCTTTCCCTTGATATTGACCAAGTCAAAATCAGTGGTGAGGTCAAAGCAAGTGTCATCACTCATCAACATAAACGGCCCAATTGAAAGCTAAGTAGCTAAAAAACTTCTTCCATTTATTAACTTTCAATAATATACTTGATAAAAAATATTACAAAATAATTATAAAATGAAATATTTTAATAATATAGCATCAAACTTCAATCTTGAGGGGCGAGTCATCCGTGAAAAGACCCGTAAATAACGTCTAGCGGATCCCAGCTACGAACTTGAGTGACAAGTTGAGCTAGATTGTTAATTTACTATCATTTTTATTTTTTAAGTAGTATGTATTTTGTGACATTGAAAAAACGGAGCCACCGGGTCACGTCAAATGCATACTTTAGTTTCTATGTTTTGTATGAGTTATGTGTGCCTCTAGCTATCGGAAATGAACTGCAATCCCTCAGTGGTAAGTTCAGTCCTTTATGCGTGCCACGCTCCAATTAAGCATAGAAACCTAGCTTGAGCTGAAGCTTGGAAATTTGAGGCAACTTAATTTAGGCTCAAATCCAATAGCAAATTATAAGCTCAAGAAATTATAACAATTTTATTTGAATGCATAGGTGCAACTATATGATGACATCATATCGGCCACTTAGCCGTCTCTCCTAGTCATCTTTATTTGATGGCTTGGACTTCTTATAGGCCTCTCGGCCACACGTCTCGGTCACTTTATTTATTTGATGACTCGGACATCATATTATGGACGGTCACTCGATCTATCTCTTAGTCATCTTTATTTGATGACTAACACTACCTATCACGCAGAGCTACGCACATATGAGGACCGATCTTGGCCATCCCCTTAGCAGATGCCGACGGTTGCAGTTCCACACCGAGGCCGAAGGGTTCACCCCTTTTGCTTCATTTTGGGGGCATCTGGTGTACTCTTTTTCTCTCATTAGGATTTTTTCCCACAGGATTTTTTCCTAATGAGGTTTTTAACGAGGCATCTCCCCAACGTGGACAAAAGGTGTCGACCCTCGGTCCCTATTGAGGACATCACAAGACATGCACTACTCTACTCTCTTCACCTCACTACATTCACCTCAAGGAGTGGGGGACTGGAAGAGCGGGGGACTTAACGCCTCAAATTTTTTCACGAAGTTTACTCACCAGACGACGACAGATCAGCACACAATTCTACTCCCTTTCGCCTCGAGTACTCTCGACTCAGGGAGTGGGGGACTCCTGATAGAGTATATAGACTCGAACCTTCGGGTCTCACGACTATTGGGCTTGGACAGTGGCCCACACACGCTTATCGGATGTATTTTGTATTATTTTACTGTTCATATATCATCTGTATTAATGGGCCTATCGGGCCCATATTAGCGGCCCGACCCATCATTCTCTATTTATACTTCTCTTGGAGTCACTTGTAACCCTAGAATGATTATTACACAAGCAATATCACTATTCATCATCTTCTTCCTCTCTATAGCTCAATCTCTCCATTTATTATATAGTTTGGATCCCCATAATCCATCAATAACTTTATTGGATATTGGTGGGACGTGGTAAAGTTTTTGAGTAAAAAAAGTCTAAGAATCTTATGTGCGCATACTTACAATGTACATATTTTTAGATGTAGGAAAGCCATGTGTGTTGTATGACTTTATTGATGCAAGTAGAAAGGCAGGGGTGAGCTTATACTCCTCCAGATCGGATTGAATAGGCTAGGCTAAACCAGAATTCTAGCATTTATATACTTGTTCGCATTATTTTAGATTATGAGCTTAAACCGAGTTGTGTTAAATTTAGTATGATCGATTCGCCGATTCGGTTAGCGTTTTTTTCTTTACATATTTTTGTGTTTTTTTAACAACTGTTTCGTGGTATGCATATTGAGATCTTATCCTTTCTCTCATTGGCACAAGGAAGTTTTGACTCGATTTTTATAGCATATATAAAAGCAATGCAGCTACTTATAAAACAACAAAAGCAACCTAGTCTAACCAGTTCCCCTTTACACCAAAATATTGGTCCGGTTCATGATTCAAACTCTTCACATCATATTATTAGCATGTCTTTTTTAAGAGGATTTTTTTCATCCATCTCTAAAATGTTTTTACATTTATTTTGTCATTCTTATTAAGAAAACGAGTCAATAGGTTTTTAAATGAAAAAGAAAATACTTTATAGACGGAGCAGTGAAAAACTCACTAGAGATAAATGAAATATTCGGTGATCCGATGTGCCCTAAAAAGCTCTCTAATTCAATTTATGAAAACATTGTAACATATATCAAGTTATCAACTTTACAAGTCTATTGAACTTGGGCGGCCGCTTCTCCCTCTAGTTAGGGTTTTATCTCTTCCACCGATTAATCGATTGGGCGGATCTTCCGTTTGGGAGTTTTCCCCTGTGATGAGTTTCATGGTGCGAACAAGAAGCAAAGACAACAATGGCGAGATGAAGGCATCATCTAGTGAGGGTCATGGGCGCGAAGCTTGGGGTTAAAAGCTGGAACAGATCTTAATTCAAGGTCATTTGTGATTGGTGGCGAAAATGGAGCCTTGACATAGAACATGATGAATAAGAGACAGGGTGAGGAAGAAGCTGCAGTACTGTTGGCTTGTCCCCCTCCTGAACCGCTGCCATTGAGTGTTGGCGAATCTAGGGTTTGGAAGAAAACGAGCGAACTCTATTTCGATTCCGTTTTATTTTGTTTGTGTTTTTATTCCGAACTACATGTTGTTTACATGTGTTTTTATTTCCTAACAGAAAAACTCTATGATTAAGACAAATGATGAGAAGTCTGTGTTGTCCGTCATTGGCTCAGTTAAGGCCATTACAGGCAGGCCCGACCACAAGGCAGTGCAAACGGTGCGGTGGAACAGGGCCTCCACTTAAGGAGGGCCCCCAATTTTAATTGATATGTTAGTTCCATTAGAAAAAACTGAAGTATTTAATCTTTTATTCGGAGCTAGAAAGATTGAACGTGCGGCTCTTCGGAGGAAAAAGTCATCTTCCTCGATCTTGATTAGTGACTCCTCGTAAAACACACAACCTACAAAATTACAAAATCCGATTGGCGACCAAGTGACTAGACCAATTCAATATAAACTATATTCACTTCTTTGTCAAATCCCTTCTTCCCGATTTTCTTCTCCAAACATCTCCTCTCAAATAACTTCCTAAGTTTTCTGCTAAAATATGAATTCGAAGTGGAGCAGAGTGAGAAGTTCAAAGTTTCAAAATAGCGTACTGCACCGTTCCACACTCAATATTTTATACGTATTATATTCATCACAAAGATATTTACTGTGTACTTTGTTTTTAGGTCTTTAAAGCTTAATGTGCTTGAGTAGTAGCCTGACCCTTTTGAATACGGTTAATATTTTTTGGGGGAGTTATTTGATGTTTTGTTTATTAATTAGGAAAATAAAATAATAGTATGTACTCCCTCCCTTTTTATTTAGTGCGACACTATTTTTCAAGTCAATGATGTTAAATTTTGACTGATTATATATTTATACACGGTAATATTGATCATATGAAAATTGTACGAAAATTTTCTTTATTAAAAATATAATCATAAAAATATAAATCTATTAAATTTCACATAAATATATTAGTTAAAATAATGAATTAAAACTATCATTTTTATTAGAAAAATCAAAGATGGCTAAATAAAAAGGGATAGAGGTAGTATATTTTATGTTTATGTTATCCCAAA